TGCCAGTGCTGCCAGCTAAAACACGCACACCAACAAAAATAATATTGGAGTAGCCCAAGACATAGCCAAAGATTGCAAAGATTGCAGTGCCACAGCACCAATGGAAATTTAAATATCGATCAACTGAAAGCGACTGGAAAGCTTTCAGTTGATCGATATTTAGATAATCAATGCTCTACTGTATATGTATGATCAACAGTAACGATCCAAATGATCCTGAAGTGTCTAGCATCTATCAGATTTAGGCATGTAATATATTAATATATTACATTAATATATTTTTATTACATTATTACATAGTTATGAATATAAAATATATTTTGAAACTTTCATTATTCTCTAATCACAATTCTATAGTACATATCTGTTGTTTAGAAGAATAAGAGTCAATGTCAATGACATTGACTCTTATTCTTCTAAACAACCATGACATTGACATTGGCTCTTATTATGACCCGTGACATTGGCTCTTATTTTTCCAAGCCATAAATACATGATGGGAAAGTCATTAATTAAAAGCAATTTCAGTATAATGGACAATGTTACCAATGTTTCCCTGAAATTTGTTGGATGATACAGTATTACAAAGCAGTTATATACCTGCTCACATTGATAATCCTGCTATACAGATACTTGCACCAAGTCATATCAAAGAGAGCCCCACTGTCAGATTTGCACTATCAAGAAGCAATGAAGTGTTTCATTTTTTTGTGGTTGGAAAACCACAAAAAAATGACACTGCACTGCTTCTTGGTATGAAAATGAGTGAAATTTATTGCAGGATGGTGGTTCAGTATGGAGACAGTTGTTTAAGTAGTGTAAGGTATACAGGTGGATCTAGAGATTTAAGAGGGAAGGCACAATAACTGTGATGAGTATCAACATTGATCAACGACTGTCATGATAGACACAAGAGAGGTTGCAGCCGATGTTTTCATCAAGAAAACATGTATGTCGGACATTCAATGCCGCATTCCTGTAAGCCTAGAAGTTTGACAATGGCACTTGGAACATCAGTGAAATCATTCTTGACGTTCCAAACTCCATTGTCAAACTTCTAGGCTTACAGGAATGTGGTGCTGAACATCCGACATATACGTTTTCCCGATGAAAACGTCGGCCGCAACCTCTCTACAATCAAAGTACAAACTGATACATGAATTAGGGAGTCCTGGAGAATCACAACTGATAACATCTCGGCCAAGTTAAACATGAGCCACAGCTGCATACAACATTGTGACCTGGTCTTAGTTCTTTGGTACCCTACCTGCTGCAAACTTCTCTGTATCCAAAGTTACAGTGGACAATTTTACATGCAGAGCAATGGCTTGTGTTAAATTTGGCAGAGATGTCACCAATTGGGATCTCTAGGACTCCCTAATTCACATATCAATTTGCACTTTGATTGTGTCCACCATGACAGTGTTGGTTGACCTGGTCAGTTATCATTGAAGGCAATATGCCTGTTGTCCTTAAATCTCTGTATCCAATCATGTATTGATTTAAACAATGTCTCCATACTGAGTCACCATCATGTGATAAATATCACTTATTTTCACAACCACAAAAAAAATATAACACTTCACTGCTTCTCAATGGTGCACTCTGACAGTGGAACTCATATTTGATATAACACTGTGTAAATGTCTTATCAAAGGTTATAGAAGGATTGCCAATATGAGCAGGTAGTATGTGCTCATATAAATGTTTTGTAATAGCCAACAAATTTCAAGAAACATCAGTTTTATGTCCATTATATTAATTAATTAAAACTGCCTTTATTTATTAATTGTGACCAAAATTTTAATTATATGAGGGAAAATCACTAATTAGTCATAATATCTTATCTATGATTACATCTCATATTTGTATTCCTTCATACCGCATGTATGATATCTCATATTAGCTATCTATATGGATAATATAATAAATTTAATACAATTAATACAATTTGTAACTATACATCAATTGTTCCAGTAACAGAATTTTACATAATTTTGATGCTTCAATTTTTAAGAGAGATATTGGTACATTTTATATTTTCCTTGTCATTATTTCTGAAATTACATGAAAGGTACATTAGATAATTTTGCAAAATCAAATAGTATGCACTGGAGTGAGATTTAACTAAACATCAAATTACATTTGTATTTAATTGAAAAATCTATATTACAGCTGTTCATATGCACATTTATGATATATGATAGATACAGCCTTTCCATAAACTACATTGCCTTTGTTTAAATTTAAAATCACTTATAAATATTCTTTTATTGATATCAAGCACTCTTCCATTAACATTGTGCAAATAGAGCTATATAATTTGCAAAGAGATATTACCGTAATTTTCTCACAAGTATTTGTTTTCACAATGCAACAAACTGAAATTTTCGATGATGATGCAATGTAGGGAGTTAAACACATAAAACACCTACATCAGCATACTTCCAATTAATATGTATTTACTAACATTTACTAACTATTATAAATAAATTCCGTTTTCATCTGTTTATAACAGATGAAAGCGTTACTAAAAATATATTAATTAGAAGTATGCTGGTGTATGTGTTTTATATGTGTTTATAATATCCCAGTATTGGAAGGTTATTGAATGTTGGGAGTTAGTTTGTTTTTAAATCATAAAATTCTAATTTCATATTTATAACAGCTATCTAAAATATTCAAAATGGATTTTAAAGCATAATTGTATGTATTACCAAATCATTTAATAACTTGCTGCAATATAATATTAATAACCTTATAAAATCATCATTTTATGTTTGTTTTTATATTTAATAAACTGTTTATATTAAAAAATAGCAAATTACAAAATGCTTCTCAATATAAAAATTTCAAGAGCATATTTCAATGGTTATAATAATAGAAAACATATTTATACAACATATACACCTTAGTAATATTCAATGAGTCTGAGTACCTGTTGAAGTGAAAACATATTTATTTTCTTATACCCTGTTCACACTGAGCATTTCAATCTAGATTGTGATCAAGGTCAGCAACTGTGCCATGGTGCAACCTCTTCAACCGTTTCAATTTCGACTGAAACGAGGTTCAATTGCAATCTACTCAAGAGAGTTCTTGAAACTAGATCCAGTCATAGATCCCACAATCCCATAAATGTGAGAAAATACAAGATGGCTGCAGAACGCAAGTCAGGCTATCAACAGAGAAATAAAAAATATATTTGGAGAAACAATGAAATCTGTCTATTATTAGATATATGGCAAGAAAAATTATTTCTAACCAAAATTTCCATTTTGTTTGTTGGTGTTCGTGACTTACCGTGTAGTTATGTCAGTTTTATCATTGCGTGTAATAGCCATGTTCTCAAGCGGACTGCCTGTGCAAACAGTTCGACATTCGACTGGCGACAGTTACAATCGAGATTGCGGGTAAATTGAGATCAAAGTGAGTCGTGGATTGTGTGTGAACATAGTATTATACTTGAATAATAAAAATTTGTGACCAAACCACATATTTTGAAATAAATACAATTTTACATGAAATCTACTAACAGGAACTATGGAAAATAGAAAAAAAGACCATTCAACTATTACATTAGCAATTTATGGGGAAAGGGATTCATTTGTATCCGACAATTGCCAACAATGGGGGAGGAAGAGTCTTTGATGACATAAATCCCATATGACGGTTTCCAGTGATCACAAGTGCGAATGTGCTACTGAGTGAAGCAGACAAACCGATACAAGTGAATGTACTGTACATGTCTGGAGTAACTGAATTTAGCATGCAGTGATCACCAGATGATGCTTCCACACTTGCATGCAGGAAGCAACTACCAAGCAAGTTTAATCACTGCTTCCACAGCTCAAATTTCCAAAGAAGTTTTCTTCTTTGGAAGTACAAACAATGGAAGAAAAGCTAGATTGTCTTTTATTTCACAATACAAATAGTAAAATTTGCCAAACTGATAACATTTCATATAAATATCATGTCTTTTGCCCATAAGAAGTTTTGGTAATACAATGTACAAAACTGTTTTCAACGGCAAGCATTCGACAAAGTCATCTTGCCGCCATTTTGTAAAAATGCGTCCACTCCAGACAGAGGTCATGCCAGCTGGAAGCATGTATAAATATTCTTTCCGCCGCGATCACAGAACACCGCCACATAGAGTAATTGCATTCGTGCTTATTTTTCTCTCTGGTTACCACAAAATTATCCGAAAATAATTCCCGCACATTTGCAAACAGTTTTAACTTCCAGCCTGAAGACATAATTAGATAGAGGGGGTATTTCAGATGGCTAGCAATGTCAAAGGAGGTTATCAAACGGGCAAATTTCTGCTTGCATAACACCCGAACAAACTCAATACTGTGTTTGTAATTGACCATGCACAAATATTGTAAACCTACAATCTATTTGGAACATAGGTTTATGATATTTGTGCACGGTCAACTACTCATATAAGATAATGTTATGTTTTCTGATAATTCAATTCTGAAATCAATTTTTATCAGAAAATAATTCAAATTTCAAAATTCCATAGAATAGAATGAAAAGTTCTATTGAGATTGATGTGATATTATCATTCTAAATTAATTCTTTTTTTTGTTTATTAATGTATTTGTCAGTATAAATGAATAATTATACCATTGTAATCTAAACCAATCCCAGAATTCTTACATCAAATAAGAGATTTTAATTAATATTCAAATATTAATGTAATTAACTAAATAAATTACCGAACAGAATAATGTAACACTTTATAAAAGTGTAAAATTCTTAATTTAAATAAAAAATTATAAGAATATTAAAGTATTTTCTGGATTAAATTGAATTTCTCGAATTTCTCTTTCATAATTAGGCTTACATAAAGTCATAATATAAATAATTGTAACGATCGGAAATTAAATCTCGACGTTATATTTTCATTAAAAACAATCTTACGAAAGTAATTTGTAGCTTAATACGTTTATTCGGTGGTTATTTTTATTATAAATATGCAAACAACTCACTTGTCTTTCTCTGTACCGAAAATGGATGCCAAATATTCCGCCATTTTCTTCGATCGACGTCACTAGCCGATTGATCACGTGATCCAATCGATGATCGTTTGGTATTTCGTAATTAAAAATATAAATATAAAAATATAATTCGATTCTAGTGAAAATTTAAATTTAAATTGCATACAATATAATTTCATTTAAATTATCGCGAATGATATGCTGTATTTATGTAATTAGCATTTATGTAATTTATTGCGCGAGACGATCATATGTACTGTACATACGAAATTCGTATTTACTGTATTATATGAACTATAATTTGTCATCATATTATGTATATATGATAATAAATTTAAAATTAAATTGATAGAAGTACTATTATAAATGTTATTGTATTTTTTTTTCAGGCCCATAACAGCATCCGCCAGGTGAAGAGGGATAGAGCCCGATACAGTATATCTGAGACAGACCTCCTATTAAAAATTTCTGAGGGTTTGCTCCCTCAGATTCGATCTTAGGAATCCAGAAGGATGGGTTGACGCCTTAAGTGTTTCGGCTATCCGTCCGTCATTACTAAACACTAGTTCATGTCTGACCAACAGGCTGCTGGCATCAAGTTTTCAGGCCGGATGGCCGAGCAGTTAAGATGTCAGCCTACCACTCCGGGGGACCTAGGATCGAATACGTCCGGGTCGAAAAATCCCCAGGAATTTTTCGGGGATGATCTGACCGGATATGTCGGCCCCCGTCTCTCACCACCCAGCCTGTAGTGCCTGACCGAACCCATAATGGGCTTGCTTTATAAGCCCTCTTAGTGCCCACAGGGCGAAAAGAGTTTAAAACAAAAGCATGGAGTTTTCAGGATTTTGTTCGCAGATCTAATACCTAAATGGGAGCCAGTTTTTCCATCCTCCAATAATACTGGGGAAAGTAGGATGGCTTTCACCAAATTTCCCGCAATCTAAGCCATTCTGATTTGACTATGAGCAAGTATTGAGTACAATAAATACATGAGAGCACGTATAGATGGAGGATAGACTCTGGATGTTCCAGCGCGAACAGCTGAATAGTGTCTTTACACACTATCAGAGACAGGCAGAAGCCTTGCTACAGAACCCTGTCACCATTTGCAGAAGCAAATTTGCATGCACGGCGGCTGTTACATGTCCTACTATTAACACCCCGACATCAGTGGGGTCATTTGTATAATTATACAATATAATTAATTAATGTAATGTTCCATATCCTGTCCTTGTGAATTCCTTGATATAATAAGGGAGTTGATAGAGTGTATGCATTATGTAATTTTGAAGGTGGATTTTGAGACAGCATTATAGAATGTTACATTGAATGGAATAGTAATTGAAAAGTATAAAAATTGCATTACGTAGCGTAATTTACGGTGGCAGGTTTTTATATTAATTTTTTCCTTACGGAAACGTCTTCCGGAAGTCCTGAAATTTCCGCATACCAAATTGGTTGCATTTGGACTGATAAATAGCTTTCTAAGTAATGTTAAATGATATACTTTAATTTAATTAAGATCACGCGATATATTGTCATATTTTATTTTATTTTTATGTATTTCGGAATTTTTAGAATGAAATAGTAAGTTTATGATATATATATATGGAAAGTATCATTCTACTGTATATCATTCATCATTTCTAATAACTCGACCGGTATACACCGAATAGTATTATTAGAAGTTTAAAAAAAAAAAAAACTTATGGGCACAAACAAGGCTTTTTCCAAGCAAGCTCATTATGAGTTCCGCCAGGTCCACAATTGGGGGCCTATGTGGTGAGGGACGGAAGCCGACATATCCGGTAGGATCAGCCCCCGAAAAATTCCCGGGGTTTTTTCGATCCATTCAGTTTCACAAAATAATGAAACTTCTGACAAAGAAAACTGGAGAAGCAAGATACAGCGAGGTAAACCATCCTGGATGGAAAGCAATGAATTCTGAATGATGGCAGGAGTTGTTGCTGGGGAATACAAAGACCCAAACTCATTTTCTGAAGTATTGCAATCGAACGAGAGAGAGCTATGGATGCAAGCCATTCATGAACAAATTAGAATCTCTAAAACAAAACGACACATGGAGGTTAGTCGAACGTCCGAAGGATGCACAAGTTGTGAAAAATCGTTGGGTTCTGCGCAAGAAAACTAAAAGTGATAGAAGCACTCGCTTCAAAGCTCGGTTGGTTGCAAAAGGTTATGCTCAAAAACCAGGAATTGACTACGAGGAAACATTAAGTCCTGTCGCACGTTTTGACACCATTCGGACCTTGTTAGCGATAGCAGCTGCAAAGAATATGCAATTGGAACGGTTTGACGTAAAGAAAGCTTTTCTGAATGGCATACTTGAAGAGAAAGTGTATTTGGAACAACCAGAAGGTTTCGATGATGGTACCGGTCGGGTATGTCTCCTGAAAAAAGCAGGCACCACGTTGCTGGAATAAACGATTTATCAGATTTATGAAGAAAGCAAGTTTTCAAAACAGTACTGCAGATTCTTGTCTTTTTTTTATCGAAACCAGAATAAAAGGCAACTGTATATCGCAATTTATGTAGATGATGGTCTTATTGTTGGTAGTGACAAGAAAGAGATGCTGATAGTTTGAGAGCTCTGCAACAAGAATTTAATATGACGACGGGGTCTCTCGACAATTTTCTTGGGGTGAGAATAAAACAATATGAAGATGGTTCAATTACAGTTAGTCAAGAAAATTACACAAAAAGAATATTAGAAATATTCCAAATGGCTAAATTAAATGCAGTCTCAACCCCTGTTGGCTGTGAATAAAGTGATCTCGATGAGGCAGTATCATCTGATATATCCTATATCAGCGTCTCGTCCAGATATTGCAGTGAATAAAGCTGCTCGAGCTACAGAGAAACCAACTATTCAAAATTGGAATCAGGTAAAACGTATAGGCCTATTTCGGTACTTGAAATGTACTACGAACTGGGGCGTCATTTATAATAAAAAAGAATTGAGTCTACAGTGATTCTGATTTCGTAGGTGACAAGAAGACAAGACGTTCAACAACTGGAATCATCGCGAAATTCTCAGGTGGAGCTATATCATGGACTAGCCAATTACAAAAAGTAGTGGCAACTTCATAGCCATATGCTATCCCCCAAATTCACCAACATGAATTTGATTATTGATGTAATAAAGTATGTTACAAATAACTGTTACAAATAAAAATATATTGTTCATTTAATAAATTTTTATGTTTTATCTGCATAACTTTTTGATCTTGATACTCTTTATTACTACGAACTTATATAATTATTATGCATATATAGAAAGCTTTAAACTTGTAAAATATTTTATTAAATTACTTTTTATCATACAATAATGCAACATAGATACAAATATGATAATTTTTATTTGGTTGATTATTATATTAAAGTACTTCAATATAACTTTGATGATAACAAAATAACATATAAAGAAAAGAAACATCTTTACTCCAGCGAGTGTAAGAACAAACTACTGTAAGTTTATTTAATTAAAGAAAAAAAAAACGGATAGTTTTTACAGTATAAAGACGGAACGTTAAATAAAAATACAAAAAGGCTATTAATAATAAAACCCTCAAAGGCTTTCCCGGGAGAGAGGAGAAGAGTTACGTCAGGCCAACACCCAGCTTTACCTTTGCATGTTACATAAGCACGTGTACGTTGTATATTCCAACATTAAATCCTGTCAAAATTAGTAAATACAGTAGTAATTTTGACAAGCCGAATATCTACTTCATTAACTACTGACTGATTTCTTACGTTTGCTTTAAAATAACGTTTGGAATTTCGATCTAGAAGTTTTTTAATAAGTAAACGAAATTAATTTTTTATTTAAAAATACTAATGCTAGAGATTTAAAACTTATTGAGCCTGTAAGATTCATTCATCCGTCATATTCTTGAATAAAAAAAAAACGAATAAAATGCTTTATTAAACTGAAATAATCGTCATTTCTTAATGTAAATCCATAGGTCATCACTCATAAATTGCGCGCTGTTTTTAAACTCTTAAATTACTATCCAACTCCCTTGTAATTCTCTGTAACGCTGTCGCACATAGGGGCGGATCTAGTTTTTCGGAGCCTAAAACTTATTGAAGTCCAATGGGGCCCCATTTTTTGTTAGATTAAGAATCTTTAAATTGGCGTTTAAAATTCATTTTTAATAATATTAAAATCAGAGTTAAACTATATTTTTTATAAAACGGTGTTGAATGACAAACTTTATATCTTACATAAAATACATAAGAAATAAAGAAATGTTTACATTAATTAATTACTGACCAATTACGTTACATTTATTACAATAAAATAAATAATATTATACTGTAAATTATCATTATTATTAATATTAACTATTTTTTACTATACGATAAGTGCTCATTGTTAATGAAAAAGTATTAAAAATTTATTATAATAATACAATTTTTGTGGGCCCTTGACCCATGGGGGCTCAGGGTTTAAGCACTATTAGTCTCTATGTAGATCCGTCCCTGTTCGCACATACTAACTCCAAAATTACGTAAGATATATTCTCGAATATAAAAAATCTATATAAATAAAAATGTAAATGTTCGTTTGTTCAAAATCTTAAATCTCCGAAAGTTCTTAACCGATTGCTTTGAAATTTTGACACAACATTGCATTCGAATACGCGTGTGTTTTTATATTATATAGATGTTGAAATTCCCACCCCTGCGGGGGAGAGGGACAAAATTAAGGCTTACCGTGAAGTACTGGTCTTCTATTATTCTATTTTAGATGCGGTTTTTTGCGTTTTTGATTGCGTTTTAATCTCTACGTGTTTAGCAAACATCAATACAGTAGTCTATTCAAAGACCCTAATATTTTTGTTCTTTAATTACCTTTAATTACATCCAGCGTTAGGTAATTAAAGGACAGCCCAAGCTATAAAATATTCGAAGAATTCGGTTCAGGAAGCAATACGATAAGTATTGCTTTCTGAACCGAATTCTTCGAATATTTCATGGATTAAAAATCCGATGAATCAGATGAAATCCGAACTGGTCTTTTTTTTTAAGCTCTCTGCCCTATGGGCACTAAGAGGGCCTTTTTTAAGCAAGCCCATTATGGGTTCGACCAGGCCCACAATGGGGAGGCTGGGTGGTGAGGTACAGGGTCCGACCTATCCGAACGGATCACCCCCCCGAAAATTCCTGGGGATTTTCGACCCGTCTGGATTCCATCCTGGGTCCCCTAAAGCGGTAGGCTGCCACCTTGACCTCTCGACCATCCGGCCGTCGAGGCCGAACTGGTCATGCACGTACAGGTACTTTTTTTTTTACTCTTTCCGCAGGCCCATTATGGGTTCGGCCAGGCCCACAATGGGGCTGCCGGGTGGTGAGGGACGGGGCCCGACATATCCAAACGGACCATCCCCGAAAAATTCCTGGGGATTTTTCGACCCGTTCGGATCGAGCCCGGGTCCTCCAGAGCGGTAGGCTGCCACCTTGACCGCTCGGCCATCCGGCCGCCACGTACAGGTATTGTACCTTCTGCGAAAGCCATAAAATGAGTGAATAAAGCTAAAAAACAGGGAAATAAAAACAGAATTTTCGTCTTTTATGAAAAGAAACGTTAATTTATATCATTTTTATATAATTTTTTTTTCTGCACGAAGCTAATTTCGGAGCCCCTTTGTGTCTAGTTTACACTATCTCAGCCAGGTTAATGAACTGTTACATTTAATATTATCTTTAATAATAATAATATTATTATTATAAAAGATAACGGGATTTCCCGAGCAATCTGTGATTACAAACTGCTAAATATGTGTTTTATAACACTCGCGTTATGTCACTTATTGTTAATTCAAATTTCTTTCACTCATAAATTACAATAAAAGGTCTTATTTAAAATAGAATGCGTATTATTTTAACAATGCACCTTTAAGAAATTTAACACGTGTTAAATATAACTAAAGCAGACGATATTTATCTCGTTGCGTAATATTATTTATTTGTTTGTTTGTTTCGGCGTGTAATGGCGCTGCATGCATTCCGTTTTGCACGCTGGTGAAAAAATATGGAATGAGTAGGAAACATTATGTTGTTTCATGGCATATTTTTTCGTTTAAGAAATTTAAACACTAGATTAAACATTTTCAAATTATCTGCAAGATTGAGTTATCGTTACCAGGAAATAAACTCACATCCTCATCTCTTTAGAAATCCCCGAGATAGTTTATTATTCGTAAACACGCATAAAAAACCGGACGGATTTCCCAAGAATTTCTTAATAAATAACAGAGAGATGTCGTCCAAAAAGGATTTTACGGCCGACAAAGGTAGGAAATACTTCAAATTATTTACGATTTATTGACCCCTACCCGTGAATGACCTATAAATTACTTAATTTTATTCAAAAATACATTTATTTAGTATTTTAATGGGTGTTATTGGGCTACAGTTTTTAAATTTCAGACCTGTAGATTTTGTCTGTCGGAAAGAACAAGAGTTATATCGAGAGCAGGTGTGGAAAACTTGAGGGGGGTCGGAGGTCACGATTATATACGAAACTTCCTGTCTGACCGGAAGTCGCGTGATTTATTTAAAATTTAAATATGATTAAAAAGTGCAGTCCAGTATTTTGATGACGTAACAATAAGTAAATTTAAATTTAATATTCTTTTTCTCTTGAGTCTGTCAATACTTCAATGGATAAAAGTGTTTGACCATTTCAAATGATTTTCCTCCAGCAAATTCAAATTTTTGTAATATAATATCTGTACTTATGTTTCTTTCAATTAAAAGTGAAAGCAAAATGATAGACATTAAAAATTGTATTACATTCATAAGATGCGTCTTTGATTTATAATAGTTGGATATATTTAATAGAATCAAACCCTGAAAAGAGTTTAAATCACATAAAAAAACATACCTTTGAGCACTTTTCCAGAAATGTTTTTCTTCTCGACAAATGTTTTCAGCTCCCTCAATAAGCCTGCCTCAATTGTTTCATACTTCGGAAGTTAGAAAATACAATCGTAGACCTTGTATTTTCTAACCTGGTTGTTACATTGTTTTCAAATGTAAAATCTATAGAAGACACATCATAATGCAAGCTGACATTCCAATTTAGAAAACGTTGCTAGAAAAGTACTTAAAGGTGTGCTTTTTATATGGTTTAATATACACTGGTGTGCAAAACTTAAGTAACAATTGTTTTTTGCCATAACTCTGCAAGAAATCACCTGGAAAACATGAAATTCAGAATATAGAGACAGTATTTTGTAATTAAAGGATAAAGAAAGCATACTAGTGCAAAAATGAATGAATGCATACAGTATGGAATCAAAACCTTCTGTTATTGTAGTCTTGCACTGTGCACACTGACTGCATGCATTTCTCATGCCCTCACATCACCTGTGATGTCTTATTCCTGCATATGAAGCACCTTTCTACTGAATTGGGTGTTCATTGTACTGATTGCAACAAGTTATTTTCTACAATTTTATAGGTGTCTGCTTAAATATTACATTGCTGCTTAAGTTTTGCATGCCAGTGTATGTCAGTTTGAATATTTTCTAATCCCTTGTTTCCTCCAAAAATTCTGGAAAATTCCGTACTATATTCCCTCTACAAATAAAAATCTGTATGCAGCACTACTCTTTGTAGCAGAGGTATATTTTGATAAACATTATACAGGATGATTCAAAAAGTTGTTGACAAACATAAGAAGTATATAGAGGAGTCAGAATAGAGTAACTTCTGGTTAGCAATCCATGTTTTCTGAAGTAATCTTGAGTCAGAACAAGCATTTGAATGTAAGAAGTTACATTGTTGATGCAATTGTATATTGCAAAGGAGCATTGGGTTTGTTGCAATATGAGTTGTCTGTCACCTTCAGTTGTCTTGTGTAGTGCATTCATTGTCATTAAAGACCAGATTTATATGCATTTAAAATCACAATATGTATATGTACGTATGCCTGTAAAAATGTCAGTTATGTGCACTTTAAAATTCCTGAAATATGCATTATACATGTTAAAAGCACCAGTAATAGGTTGAAATGTACTTCTGTCTTTGAGCAAATCTTACTAACATCTACTATGTCACATTTTAAGTACAAGGGAAAAATAGATGGCATAAAAGATTTGAAAATTGTGATGTCACCAAACATATATTAGAATAATGTTTTGTGTAGGAAGTGTGCAATCGAGTTAATTACAAATAAAATTATGTGCATGCCAGTTTTGTTCAATAAAATTTTATATAACTTGCTCTGCTATCTAATTAATCATTATTGAATTTATTTCTATATATACAATTGTTTAAAAGATATTTGAGGATGATTGGATTAAAAGAATGGGACAGACTTTCATAGGCTATTTAAAACATCTAAATTTTGCACACTGATCTGTGACTATATGGTGAAGTAATATTTATCATTAGAATTGTATATACATTCACAAAAAAGATTCACTGTATAAATAGCAAACACAAACTATAGCTTATTTAAAATCATGCAAACATGGTCAAATCTCAAAACTGGTCAAATCTGCAAAATATGCAGTAAAAAAGTCTCAAAAATGGTCAAATCTGCAAAATATGCAGTAAAAATCACAAATGCATATTTTATATGCACTTTCAAAAATATCCATATGCTTTATCTGACTACTTGGATCCAAATCATCTTTCTATTGAGGTTTTAACATTATAGCATTTAAGAAGAAAGAGTTGCAAGTACATGCAAATCTGGCTCTTAATCATCATCATGTGCTTGTTATTTGTTTTCCCATGGGTTGTTTGCATTACTCAGTTGGAGGTAACTGGTGTCTTGGTGCTTTTGTAATTTCTTGTTATCTGTTAAATGGAATGATACACTTATGCAGAACTCTAGGACATGCATTTCATCTATGACACAGCCACTGGTGCAAAAAGATCATCTAAACAGATGCCACCAGTACATATGATGATCTAAAATATTTACTGAAAACTTGGAAAAACTATGGACATTAGGGATTTCCTATATACAATGCATCTTATAGATCATCCATGATAGAATGAACTTTTGTGTGGAAGAACAGCCAACTACCAGTACACATATCATTGCTCACTATGGCAAGTCCTGAATGATAGACAGCTGCACTTCTATTATCCACAGAATGTGCAAAGATTGTCTGTGGATAATTTTCCATAATGGATGAATATTACCAATGGTTTTTGCAGCATTTTCAGAATGGATCTTATTTTTTGAGTGGAATATTGTTTATAGATAAGATGGCATTTATCTGAGGTGGCTTTTCAGTTGCCATAACCATGTAGCCATGTTCAAGCAGAATACAATTCTAATACTACTGTATTCTTATACTTCCACCAAGAGAGTTTGCAGGTATTAATTTATGGGCAGGTATTATTAGTGATTGGCTGATTAGACTTTACCTCCTGCCATTATGCTTGAATGAGCAGATTTATAGAATCTTTATAAAGAAAACTGTTCCTGAGTTGTTATATGCCAATTATTGTGCATCAGCAAATGTGAACATCAATTTTAAAAAATGTAAAAAAGTACATCATTTACAAATTATAACTTTGTTTTAAATTTGAGATATTGTAAAGTTAAATTGTTAAGGAATAAATTTTGGTTTGCTAATACTTGCAAAGGAAAAACCATGAATAAAAAAAAACATGAATGACAATTTATCATGCAAATATTTGTTAAAAAATGATAACACTCTTTACATTAAAAGTAAATATTTTCTCTCATCAAAGAATAACAAAATAAACTTTCATTATTGAAAGATGAAATATATGTGATCTACTATAAATCAAAATATTATCATTTTCAATGATTGATTTTTGTTTTAAATTTTATATATAAACTTTTTCTCTGTAATTTTCTTATAAATATATTCCACATTTATGAAATAATTATTATTTATTTTAGAAATTGCTGAAATAAACTTTCTTACATACGGTGACTGCTCTTTACAAAACAATATGTTACATATTTTTTTCCTTGAGGTCACTAATACTCAGTCACACTAAGACCATTAATGATAGTTAATATTTCCAGTATGACCTCTCTCTGTTAGCTTTACCATGGGTAGGCATTTTGTCAGAATTTAGTTACAGTAAGTTCTTTGTGTTTTTAAAGTACAGTTTGTGACATTACAATACAGTATCCAATAGCAATTCCTGAATTGGACTTTGTATTTGTAATGATGATGACAGAAATCATCATCGTTAAGTAATATTAATGTGATCAACTACTTGATATTATTTGATTGTGTAATGATAGTAAACATTAACTGTTGTCATTGTAAAGTGTGACAAGGTATAAGTGGGCCTTTTAATCATATCTGTCATAGGTTTAGCTAGGCTCATAATAGGGATGACCAAATAGTAATGGAGGTAACTCAATGTATTTAGTATAGACCACTCATGAAAAATTATAGACTCCCCCAATGTGGCAGACTGATGCCTTTACCATCTTGACTGTCCAGTCATCTGCAAAACAATATTAAAACAAAAATTAAAGTTATGTAAAAAACAGTTTCAAAAACATTATAGATAAGTTGCTTATTTTATTTATGTAAAATGATCAGAACTTTAAATGTATTTTGAATTTTTAATTCCCAATTATTGCTCTTAGTTAGGAGTTAGTTTGAAAGCAGTGTAATACTTTCAAAAATTTTTATTTTAATTATCATAACATTATATATGATACATTATTGAAATATGGAGAAAAGCTAAGATGATGACTTAGCAATAATGACTTCATTTTTTAGCTGAAATGAAGTCATTATTGAATGAGTTGCTATAAAGATTTCTTAGCTAATCTTGTTTTCATGAAAATGAATTATTTAATGGTTATACAATGATGAATCAAATTTATTAAAACTATATTCCTACACAACTGAAAACTATTTTGGAAGATTATTTTCATTCATGTATTATATCATAACAGAATAAATTAAAACTATAGCATTTCATTTTGATGAAAACAATAATATAATTTAATATACAGTGGTATCTTGGTACTTGAATTACTACTAACTCAAATAATTCAGTATTCATATGCATGTTCATGGAAAAAAAAATGGCTTGGTACTCATCTGTTTGCTGACTACTTGACCAAACAAATAATTCTTGCTAGAGCAAATTTTTGATTAACAACAAATATTTTTATTTTAACTTTAATTTTGTCACCTATAAAAAAATTTTTTATGATAAAAGTAACTAATTTGAAAATAAAATGAAATCCTAGAGTTGACTATCTTCGTCAGACAAAATTATTGCTAAACTTAATAAGTGTATTTCATCACTCAGTATTACATATGGGTATTCCCAGCTGAAAAGGAAATGTGACAATTTTCCAAACAATAACAGTTCTCTTCCTCTTCACCCTCTTCGCCGCCTTCCACATATACCATTAACTTTCCAAAAAAGGTAAAGTGAGAATAAATTTGTATTTATTTCATCTATTTTTAATGTTTAGGATTTTTTATAATTTATGCATGCTAGGCTTGTAAACTTCTTGAATTTGGGTTAAATTCTAATTAAAATGCATTTATAAGTGTATTATTGGGGGATCTGGAATGGATTAATCTAATTTAGATTATTCCTTATGGGGAAAAAATATATTCAGTATTCAGATTGGCACTCGAACAGCCTTCTGGAATGAATTAAGTTTAAATACCAAGGTACCACTCTAGATATCTACATTATCACAATTTACAGTCTAAAGATAGTAAATTAAGTTTACAGTTTGATAAGTAGAGGTCTATTAAAAGTAATGTAGACAAAATAAAAATAATGGCACTGATACTGAGAATGTTATAGAATTTTTGGACAGTTGCATATTAGAGAAAGAATATAATTATTCATTTCTCTAACTGTTGGACTAGATTACATGCAACGACTTAATAATATGTATACATTAAGAAAACATTTAACATTTATTTATTGTTACAATATTAAATATTTGCAATTTTTCTACATTGTTCAGATTTTCATTTGGATACAAGTTTTCACAATGCAAACAAACTACTTTTGAAAATTGCAATTAAAAGAAATTGTGTAGAGTCATATTCAAGTAATCTATGTAGAATTCTGAATCAATATATTATATTATATTATATTATATTCATTTATCATTTACTAATTAATCAGGATTACATGGATATAATGATAACGGAAAATACTAAATATTAATTAAAATGAAACTAATGTTGCTTTTGTAGATTCTAAAGACACATGAAAACATTTATAATAATAAATATTAATTTTTCTTAATCATAAGTTTATATATATGTTTTATTTGATAAAGTTTAAACTTTTTAGATGATTGCAATACATTTGGTAATAATTGTCATAACTAAATGTAGACCAAGGGCAAATAAAGATTATTGCTGAATTATCAATATGTAAATAATTCATTTTGTTTAATTATGTATCTTAATAATACAATAAATTTCATTACAGTGTAGTTGTATTGAATATTTGATGATTTAATTTAGTAATTTAATATAAAAGTCATAAAAAGAATGGCTTGGAGCAGGATAAAATGTTTAGAATTAAGGCAACATAGCCAGTGAATTATCTAAAAGTATCAAATGATTTATAAGTATTAATTTTTTTATTGTATTAGATCAATTTTAATCATGTATTATGCTATAATATACACTTAGTTAATTAATTAAGTTTATACACTTCAAAAACTGGGAGATTATACACTAGAACACATCTTTATACCAAACCACATCAAAATATATATTTCAATTTTGTCTAACTTGTTTGGTGTAAAGATGTATTCTTGTATTGTGTATAGAAATAAATTATTCAGAAGCAATAGAGATGTTAGAAATAAATTTAACTAATATAAAAAATAATTTTATTATAAATTAGTTTAAGAAATTTTTATGTTCTTAAAAATTTTCTTAAATAAATGTTTATTATATATTTAATGTAAATAATTTTTTTTAATAGAAAACTATCTTAAAATGCCAATAGAAGAAAAAAGAAAATTATATAAATGTGGATCTGGTTACTTAACACTTGATCAAATTCCAAGTTGGGATGAGTATGCAAAAATAAAAGGCATTCTAACAGGTAATGTCATTACTATTTTCATTATTCTTATAAGAATTTCATTTGAAATTCTGTAAATTAAGGTAAATTATTTATTATTAAAAAATTATATATAATTATTTAAGAATATTATTCTGATGCACATTTAAATAACTGAGGTTATTATTTTAATGTATTTTCAAGTATACAGAAATTAAAAATGTTTAATTAATATTTAAGTTTTAAGTCAACAAAAAATAAACAATATATATGTACAAGGTGTAACCAAATATTTCTGATTAAATAGTTTATCTATTTAATCAGAAATATTTGGTTACACCTTGAACGGCACAAGAAGTCCTAAAAACAAATTTTATTAGAAAAACTATTTGCCAGTACTGAACTGTCTACAGCTAGGAATGACAAAAAATTGTCCTTAATCAATCAATACCAACAATTTAAATGTGAAAAGTCCAAGATTTTACAGCTGAAAGCATACATATCAGCTTTGTAGTTATCTTTTATACACCTTACTGACATACTAATTAAAAGAACTTTGCAAAAACATAAGATTTGTATTCACAAATAATTTTTAATGATTTTATTTATTTATGTATTACAACCATTATTTCTAATTTTGATATATATTTTTTTAATTTTCTACCACACCAACATAATTATGCAAATTAGTTAATAATCTAGCTGTTGGAGCTAACAAAAACAATTTCAAATTTAAAATAATGGAAATAGAATGACAAATAGTATAAGTAATAAGCAATTTGAAAAAATTATAGACCTGTGAATTTCCACTGACGTCCATCTGTCTTTCCTTAATCTCAAAAACGGAGTGAGATAGATGAAAGATGAGACCATATATGAAAAGCTTAGGGACAGCTCTGATTAACTATATATGAATTTCCAATGCTAACACGTTATTTTAATTTAAAACTTCCCTCTGAAAGGAGTTAATAGATGACCAGCATGACAGTATTGCTGTCAGGAAAAGTATGATGTACAGGGGCACAACACTACTAATTTGAGGTGGAAAGCATATATATTTTAAATTAAATAAATTAAAAAAATACAATTAAAAATTGCAATCCAGCATTGTAATGATGTTACAATAAATAATTGCTTTTTATAAATAAATTCTTGCATCATCTAATGTAATTAAATCAGTGCCTTAATCAATGAAATAATTTTGTTAAATGGTTGTTTTGATGCCATATTTTCATTTTATTCTATTTTTTATTAATTATTAAATGAATTATACTTTTTAAAACTTTCTGTGTTTTTATATATTATCTCAGTTCATTTCTGATGTTTTAAATAAATCAGTGGTTAAATAGTTAACTTATTCTGTACTTGATTGTTAAAAATGTTGATTTAAAAACATTGATTACCTTGATTTTAAATACATTAAATTATATTTTTTTTCAAAATTGAATACTTTAAATTTTAAATGCCGTAATAAATTTTAACTTTATTTTTAATATGAATTCTTTAAATCATTTTTCTCAAATCAAGACACTAATACAGTTTTTTTTGCTTGTTTCTTTCTTTTATGGACTATTTAATTATCATAAAACAATACTAAAAGTAATTTTTCTAGTAGTAAAAAAGATGATGATATTTATGTACTGTACAGAAAATTATTTTTTAATGAAAAATTAGTTTTCTGTCTTAAATTTGTTATTACATTATTATTATTATTATTATTAATATAAAACAAAGACACTATTGAAATTATTTGATGTATAAAAATAAAACAAAAATATTTATTAAATACATATTTAGTTTCCTAATATTACTCTTTATTTTCTCTTTCAATGATTTTGTATGTCTACACACAAATTAAAAATATAGTTAGACATTTTTTGAATGTTAATATAATGCTTTATAAACTGATCATATTATTTTAAACATCAAACTTTTATAAAAGGTTACATTGACCTTAATATTTATATAAACTGTAGCATAATACTCCTTTTAAAATTTTTGTTCTAATGTTTACTCTAGAATCTTTAATCTCATATTAGTTATAATTTATTTTCACTTTCTAGATTAGAAAAACAAAGCAGAATTTAAACACAAGTTTTGATTATCAATGCTAATCTGTTCTAAAATAAGAGTGTTTAAATGTAGAAAGTTATATAAATAAAAATTAGAGAGACATTTTTTTAATTTTTATTAAATTGTTCAATTCATTCAAACATATTTTTGGTTCTTAAAATTTTATTTTTGTTTTTTAAT